GATTCATTTCAGGCATTTATTATTTACAGCCCAGCACACTGTCTCATCCTGGTGGCCGCAGGGGCCACCCCAGATCTGAGCACCACTAGTGCTGATATAGATTCATTTGTTTATCTTTCCTTGTACGAGAATCCAAGCAATCTCCAACTTCGGTGGCATTTTGATCACCTTGGATGAGCAGTGCAGACGCGCAGCGGGACACACGTGCTCCTGTTTTTAGCAGTAAATCCGACATTAGGCCGATATGAAGTAATGGGTGTGCGGCGGGGCGGCTGGCGGGGGCGGGGACTGCCCTTTTTATTCCTATTCCACCCGTCATGTTCAAGTGTCAAGTGTCTGGTGTGTGGAGGACACGTAGCTCTCACCACGCTGTCCGTGACACAGGCAGCAGCGCAGGCGGGGCGGGGGAAGAGAACGCTGCCACCCCTCCACCCCCGAGGCTTACTCAAAAGCGGCCGTTGTGATTCGCAGGGCCSCCGTGCAGTAACGCAGGGCGGGGAGGAGACAGGAGGGGGAGGGTTGTTGCGAGACGGACCCCCGGCATCACGCCGCGGGGGTGCTCCGGGGGCGGAGGCGACGGYTATCCCCGTCCCGTCGGGGCGGCAGCGAGGCGCGGGGTAAGCCACCGTGGGGGGTGAGGGATGATGCGGGATGTGCTGCGGGGACGGAAAGACCGACAGACCCACGCTCACCTTTGCCTGCCTCCCTGCTCACCCTAAAGCGGGACCGCAAGGGAGGCGACAGCTGCACGTGCGCTCATTAAAAGAAGAGCGGGGGGGCGCGTGGGGCTGGTTTTGTCCGTAGGCTGGGAGTCCCTGGCACCCGCTATTGGTAAAAACGTGTAGAAATGGTGCTTTCTTGAYGGATTGCTGCTGTATGTGGAACGGTAAGAGCTAACCTGATGGATGGCCGTGTTGATTTCCGTTTTGGGAGAGCATTGGTTTTTTCACATGTTTTACATGTAGGCACCTGACTACATTTTACGGGGTGACATAGCAGTGTAAGGCTTCTAAAACTGGAGCCAGAGGTAGCATTGGAAATAACGTTAAAAACGGCACAGAATTAAAACAATTAGAATAATTGTCTACGCATGCTTTTGAAAAAGAAAAAAAAAATGCACGGGAGCTTTTTTTTTTTTTTTTTTTTTTTGGTGGAATAACGTTGCTCGTTTAAAAACATAACATTCCTGGACTATAAAAGCAGAGTATTCTTCTGGTTTTAATATTTAAACCACTCTTCTTTTTCATCATTTCCCGTTAAGGTAAACTGAAACGTGCTAATAGTGTTTGTCATACATTTCAAGGCCCGGATTTGCAGATGAGGCAACTGTAAGGCTATAAGCAATATTTTTTTAAAAAATCATCTAAAATAACACGCTTTTTAAAAAGCGTTGRATTTAAATATGGGCGTGTTAAAAACTACATGTAATACGTTTAATAATGCAACACCAAAGATAGAAATTACAAAATGTCTTCCTCGGAGAAAGCTCTCTGTACCTGGCTCTGCATATTTTAAGAGAATATTTTAAAATAAACGATTCCTGGAGAAAAGGAAGATGCAAGTGCATTTATGGGCGGTAAAACAGCAATGAAGTATTTTAAATCATTTAAGTCGTCCTAACATTATCTGTATTGCCTTGTACCTTAAAACGGGACGGAAAGGGAGGAGTGTGTTGGCCATTTCTAAAATTTGGTTTTCTTAATATGAAGTTAATTAGACAATCAAACTTCCAATTTCCAGCTAGTGGTGTGATACCTGAGCAGGGTAATAAGAACCTCCTGGTTTTTTAATGTCCAATAAATCTCTTGTGCACCTAAATTTGTAGTATTAGCACTGTACATAATATGTAATTTTACACAAATAGAAGCATGGACGAAACTGGATATTAAGACACATACACTACAGAATCTCACCAAAACATGGAGGAATAGGAAAGGGGGGGGGGGGGGGGGGGGGGGGAAACAAAAGGATATTTTGAAGAGATGGAAAGGAGAGAGCAAAGGAAAAGTGATAGGCTGCAACTTTCAGTACATAAAAAACAATGCAAATATACCTTTACATATGCATCAATATTAAAAGTAACACACGCTGGAACCAACAGGCGCAGGAGGAGGAGGAGRAGAGATTGGAGCAACGGTGGATGCCGGTTCCTAGACCGCGGCTGCTCGCGCCCAGACGGGCTCTTCCCCGCGCGGCAGCCCSGCCTCGATCACTCATTTCGGAGATGTTTGTTTTGTTGATGATGATGATAATGATATTTGGAAGAAAAGGGGAGGCCCCTTTTTCTTCCTTTTAATTAGGATATTCCGCAAATAGGGACGATCGCTCCCAGAATCCGCGGTCTCTTAGCGGAGCAGGGGGATTTGCATATTCTTTTATTTTTCTTCTTTTTTTTTTTTTCAATTTTCTTTCATGCCCTAATTTCCTTAATGTATGTGAATGTAGACGGAGGTGCAGTATGACTTCAGCTGACGTCAACAGACGTGACCTCTCCGCTAAACCTTGAACGTAAAGCGGGGATGAGGGGACACTGGGCGAGAGCGCAGCCGCGGAGATACTCCACGCTGATACGCGGGCGCGCAGGCTCCCGGCCGCGCTCTGCCCCATGAAATAAGCTCTGGTAACAGCAGGGCACTGCCCTCCCCAAGTCTCGGACACAAAAGAAAGCCCACCTCACYTCAGCACCGACGAACCCGTCCAGCCTTTTCTATCTTTTTTCTTTCCTTTTTTTTGCTCCTGTACATCTGTACATGTCTAATTATTTGGACGTAATTTGCTGCTTCTTTTCGTCAGGAGACGAGCCGAAAATAGAAACTTCCAACTAATTTTAAAAGATTATAAGAAAATTCCCCTCCTCACTCCCCAAAACATTGCATGACAGAGAAGCGTTGAGCCGGTGAGGGCACAGCATCCTTCCAGGGGTTGCACCGCAGATTACTGCGGGTATGGGCCTCGGAGAGAGGAAGGGAGGGGAGGCGGGCACTCGGAGGAGTAAGGTGGCCCTCATCTCGAGCCACAGCCGCCGCCGGTCTGGTCTGGATGTCCAAGCTTCTCTCGCGGCTTTGGAGTGATGCCCCCTTCCCTCCACCGGGAGGAGACGCGGTGTAAGCAGGGATTCGGTGATCAGTAGATACGATGCTAGCGGTGGGTAGATTAGAGTGTATTGTCTTCCTCCTCTTCCCTTCCCCCGCTCCTTTTGGAGACCTTGTGGTGTGTTGTGATGTTTGGGAGGACTTTTGCACACCGGGCAACTTCAGACGGCGAGATGGCAGGATGAGATGCAGCCCGTGGCTTACAAGCGAGGGGTGCTCTCAGCTAGGACAGGAGTTTCTCTCCTTTTCTGCTGACATAATTAACTCTCGTCAGCCTGCTACGAGCGGATCCAGAGTATCTCCGTGCACCTTTGGCACAGCCCCTCCTTGGGCTGCACACCGCATACTCACTCACAGCTTTCTCCCTTCCAGCCTCTCAACTAAACTTAAATGCTCTCTCCAGGAAGCGGAAACGTGTGTTTCTGACCGGAGGAGCGGTGCCTGTTACAAATATTTTTTTCTTTTTTCTTTTTTTTTTTTTCTTTTTTTTTTCGTGCAGCCAGACTGGTGCTAAATTCCCTCGGTTCGCTCGGTGCTGGCGTTTCGATCGTCACAGAGCTCTCTTTGTCCTCCGGTCTCCAGGGGCTATGCCGGCAGCGGATGCCCCTCTTGCCCATCTGCTTGGGCTGCTACGGGTCTCTCTCCGCGGAAACACTTCCAGCGCCTGGGAACGGCGGAACGCCTTCCCTCTCCCTGGAACCAAGCTCTGGGCGGGACACCAGTCTGTTATATGCATATCTATGCGGAGGGATGCATACATATGCATGTATCTATGTGGGGCATCTATAGGATTTATATGTGTGTATGTATATATATATATATATATATATATATATAAATTTTTTAATGTCGCCACTCGCCTCGCTCGCCCCCACCTCTTTCAGCCCCCTCCCCTCCCACATACCCACACTCCTTGACAGCTGCCCACGCGGGGCGCCATGTATAGCAGACCCGGAATGAGGAGAGAGCTCGACATGGTCCCACTCCGCACGCCCCCAAAACAGGGACTGGAGCAGCGGCGCGCCGCTTTGCCGCCCCCTCGCCCTACACACCTCCCGCTATCCCTCCTCCGTTCTTCCTTCTACCCCTCCCTCCCTGCATATCTCCCGTTCCTGGACTAACCCAAACTTCTCCTGGCCGACTCCCGCGCCCTAAAACATAGCCGGGGCTTTTACGGGTGTTTTCATGCTGTTTTCAAACCCAGAGAGTCGGATGAGAGGGGACAGAAGGTAACCGGCAGCGCTTTAGGACATCCTCCTTCCAGCGACGAGACGTCACGGTACAAGTTCGCATGACAGCAGGAATGGGAAGTGTTTTTTGTTAAAACTACGATTTTTCCTAGTCCTTTTTTTTTTCTTTTTGATTTGTTGGGTTTTTGTTTGGTCGGGTTTATTTTTTTTTCCTTTTAAACCTGCTGTTGACCTGCTGCTTGGTGTGTAGAAAAGTTGCACAAAATATCAGTGCCTCCCAAAAACAAGACACGGATGAAACCTTTTTCTAGAAGTTAACTGGAGGAAAAAACCTTAAGAAACTCGACCTTTTGCTTCTCTATGCCACTTGTTTTTTTTCTTTTTTTAAGTTTTCAAAGAAATACGAGCTTCCCTTCTTCTCTAGGAACAAGTAGCCGTTGCTCTTCCTTACACTAGACATTTCTAATTTGTTCCGTCTGTCAAAACGGGACTACGAGAGGTTTTGGTGCAAATTCATTATCTCTGGCAAAGGATAGCATATAGTAAGAACTGAAAAAGACCGTGGCAATGGATGAACAATAGGGCTTCAGTTCATCAGCAACAAAAGCTTTGGGGAAATCGGTTGAATTTC